ATATCTAGTATCTTTGTTGAGAATTGATAATAAAATACGCGACGACTTGGTAACGAAAGTTTGGCACAAGTTTTTTTAGATCCAGCTGTAGGGGGCGTCCCATTTTTCGTATTCCCACCATGCACTTCGGTGGAACACGGTAGAACACTTTTTTTGTGTGGAGAACTCTATCTTGTATTTCTAGTATCTTTGGTTTAACGTGGAGGAATAGTTGACGAACAACCTTTCATGAACGTCGCCGTCGTCCCAAAGAGCAGTGAAGCGTAAAAAGACAACTTAGATCTTCTTGACTGGGAATCCGCATCTAAAATTGTTGTCAATTCAATCTTCAAACTCAGTATGATTACATGAAATCATAATTTAGGAATCATGGATGGTTTGAAAGAAAGCCAGCTGATTCGCATTGAGCCGATTGCCCAGGTAGGTGAACCAGGGAGATGTAAAAAATAAGGGTGAACCTAGCGTTGAACTATGATGTAGCCTAGCATAACAGCAGGGTGTGTGGACAGGGAGGAAGTTGTTTATTAGGAGTGACCAGGGAGGTATAAGACTGCTGCTACATGTAGTAGGCATCATGCTAGGTACGTTTCATGGTTGTGGCTATCGGCACTGCCGCAGCGCCCGCTGCCACAGCGCGAAGAAGGCTGCTGTTTTCTATCGGCACTGCCGCAGTGCGAAAAAGCTACTGTTTTCTATCGGCACTGCCGCAGTGAGAAAAATTTGCTGTTTTCTATCGGCACTGCCACATTGCGAAAAAAAGCTGTTATTTTCTATCAGCATTATTGCTGCAGTGCGAAAAACATAAAATTACCTAAAATAAAAACTACCTAATTATATATAGACCATAGTATGCTGCATATGCACTGGTATATTATAATATAATAAGAATAATTTAGATATATGCCCCCTTGCACTAGTAATAACAGCCCCACAAGCTTTAATATGTGTTTATTTATTAAATAAAACATTAATAAATTGTAGTTATAGTCACAATGTTTATATAAATCCATTTATTTATTAATTAACTATAATTATATTAATTTAGACAAATCAAAGACATTTGGTATGAAGTCCCCCTACTTTGGAAAGTGGGGAACGTGTCCCTGGTCCCCCAGAGATCAACGCCATAATGCCGAACTTTTTAAAATTTCAGCCAAAACTAATATTTATATCAACTCTTCCCTACCTAAAACGGTTAGAAAATGGAACAAACTGCCCCAGGATGCCCCAGGAAGCACCCAACTACGATACATTTAAGGAGATTAACTCAAACTGAGCCACTCCCCAAGGCCTCTTTGTCAGACTTCCAAGTGGAGTATTCAAGAGGATAACCACCAAGTATCAACGCCCATTTCGTCTGTTTGTGTGAAAATTATTTACATTCTGTAATTGAAGTTTATTTATAAGGTATTTCGGCGGAATGGATATTCGTCACCCCGTGTAAACCATCCTACTTATAAAAAAAGAATGCGGTATTCGCACGATGGTATTAGCATTTGATAACACATTGGCCATGTTTTTGGTTCATTTCTTACATTTACATCCAGCGTTAGGCCCACTTAATTGTTTAAATACTTAAATAAGTAAAAACATAAATTATGTGGATTAAATTATCATAGAATTTACAATAAATTATTAATATTAATATTATTATTATTGTTATTATTATTATTATTATTATTACTATTATTATTATTTAAAACAGAATAAAATATAACATTTTTATTTAAAAAGCAGATTTTTATACATGATTTTACCTACAGTATTATATTTCTATAAATTATGATCAACAAATATGTGATTAATCAAACTATCGTAAATAGGCCTATTAAAGTATTATTAATTCATTATTAAAGTATTATTCTAGCATTGTTATTAATATTATTATTATTATTATTGTATAAATTATTTATAAACCATATGAATTATGTGGGCAACATTATTATAGAAAATAAATTCATAATTTATAAGATTGTTTTGTAAAACAGAATAAAATAGATTAAATTGTTATTTAAAATACAAGTTTTGCATGGACGTAAGTTGATTTAATATGCTGATTCATTATTATCTCATTAATTAATCAAACTATCGTAAATAAAGTATTATTAATTAAATAAAGTATTATTCGAGCACTGTTATTATTACTGGTATTATTATTACTTTAGACCACCTAATCAGTTATTGATACAATAATGTCATCTATCACTCAAAACATCCATTTTGATTAATTAAACAGCAGCCAATAGAAAACTGAAGATTTTTGGCACTGCGCCAGTGCCGATAGAAAACAGCAGCTTTTTTGCACTGCGGCAATAATGACGATAGAAAATAACAGCTTTTTTCGCACTGTGGCAGTGCCGATAGAAAACAGCAGCTTTGTCACTCTGCGGCAGTGCCGATAGAAAACAGCAGCTCTGTCACTCTGCGGCAGTGCCGATAGAAAACAGCAGCTTTTTTCGCACTGCAGCAGTGCCGATAGCCTCAGCCATGTTTCAATGCCCAACAGACAGAGAGTTACTATAATAATGCTAGGGCCCGGGCCTATCCTTGTCTTTACAACCTTGTTGAAAAACACCATTGAGTGTTTTTCAACAAGGTGTTTACCGTGATTAAATAAAAATATTTTATTTTATTATTATATTTATATAAACTCCCAGGGGAGTAAGAAATACTTTCATGGAAGGAGTAATCCAAGGAAAAGACTTTAAGATTGAAACACAAAAAAGAAAATGCATTGATGATGATGGAGGAGGAGGTGGAAGTGATGCAAGACTGTTTTTGTTCCTTATTTCACGAACTTATTTTTTTAAAGATTGTCAGAAGCGGGCGAAAAAAAAAATTTTTGTTTTCTTGTTTATCAAATAGTTTCGCCAAACACATTCCGACAATGGATAAAATAAAAATAAAAAGTTATTGTTGAATATAAACATTGTAGTATTAATGGGATGGTTAAATGCTTTAAATTTATATAAATAGGAAGAAATATACATATCTTATTTTTGGAGATATCAAGGCAGCAGAAGGCGTAATAAAAATAATTGTATTTTTATTCTAAATTATCAATATTGGAGGGCAGCTTTTTTGCAAAACAAGGTATAAAAAAAAAGTCTCGTGTGAATATGGAGGATGAGAATGATAATAATGAGAATGATAATAATGAGAATGATAATAATGAGAATGATAATAATGAGAATGATAATAATGAGAATGATAATAATGAGAATGATAATAATGAGAATGATAATAATGACATATTTCATAAGAAATACAACTATGTTCCACAAAAATTATTGTCTATTTATGAAATTATTGTTCGTTGAAGATATTTTATTGAATGGAGGGATGGATGGATGAATGAATGGATTTATTCTGTGTAAACACCAAGGATAACCCACGAAAGTCGGAAGAAGACTTTCAGTGGGGTCCTTCTGGTGGTGATTTGGCAGTACACCAGCAGACAATCCCCTACTCGTTTCTGAAGAGTGTATGTTCTTTAATGTGCACATGTGCCATAATGCACACAGGACCAACGACTTAAACGTGTCATCCGAAAGGCGATGTGTTATTGTAACTTGCAACAGATCTCCACAGTTTAGCGCGCACACAGTGGCTACTACCCTCTGAATCTGTGTGTGTTTTCTCCTAGCTTTTGCTGCATTGGTCTTTATGTGATTTCTTTTGGGGTAGAATGATCTTTGAAGGTTAGGGGTACCATGAGTTTTCCATGAAGCAAGATCACTGAGGATTTGAACTGCATGGAAATAATAGAATTTAAGTAATGTCAACGTTAATGCATTGAAATATTTAGTATTCATGGCTGTCATGTCATTAGGCGAATTTGAACCATACTGTAGTACTTGGCCACTCGGCTCGTTTCAACCAACCAATATAAGAGTCTATACAAAATAATTTTATCTGCAGTGACCTGAAACTACAGTGTGCATTTATGTTAAACGATAATACAAATGTATAAATTTGAAAACACAGGCTTGACAGAGTTTGAGATGGTAGTAAGAATAGGAATATATAAAGTAGTTGTAATGCAGGAAAAAATTGAAGTGTATATCAATAAGGATGTTAGTAGAAAAGCAGTAATGTCAACGTTAGTGCATTAATATTTAAGCCTAAGTCAAACAATTGCATGTATTCATAGTGCAACTAAACAAGATGTTAGATAGAGGAAGTTTTTTGTGAAAATATGAAAGGAAAATGTTAGTGTTGGTTTGCTAAAGGTTTGTTTAGCTGAAGTACTTTAAAGTTAAATTCAATAATAATTATAACTACTTATGTTATGTGTGCCCGGACTACTCTTAATTGTATTTAATCTGAAGACACAGTCCGCAGACCACACCCATTTATGATCTAATATCACAATAATGAATACCAAATTAGTTAAAATTGTGAAGTTCTAAAGTAGTGAATGTTGTTGCTTTGTTGTTAATGTACTTAGCATACAGTATGTATAAGCAAACAAAAGAGAGTAAGGTATAAAATTGTTAAGTTCTAAAGTAGTGAATGTTGTTGTTGTTGTTAATATATTTAGCATATAAGTAAACAAAAGAGAGCAAGGTACTGTATAGAATATGTTAATCATGTTTAACTGAGCTATTGGCCTTATGTAATTTTACTAATGTGTGTTTTGTATTGAATATGTTACAGTAACAATGATTGAAATTGAAGTGCCACATGCATGCTGTGTTGCAAATTAAACATTAATCAGACATTTCCATTCCCATTTCAAAACTTGCTTTTATACTTCATATTTTTCACTAGCTTTTGAATTATGGGATCAAAGCTGACCATGTGACATTTCCTCGTGTGACTATGTCATCAAATCGATGGCTCTGCTGCCGGCATTCTGATAAAAAGAAAAAAGACGTAGAGCGAGTTACTGCTTTAAATTTAACACGTAAAACGCCACGTGCTCTGACTTGGCCTATCACTGCTGATTCTGCGATGATGAACCCACGCAAACCCTGGCTTGCTCTTAAAGGTAGAATCGAATAATAATCTAATAAATAAAGTCTTAGCTGCAAGGTAGAATGGTATAGTAGTATGCAAACTTAAGTTAATTGTGTACTTAATTTATAGTTAACTGAACGATAAGCAAATTTTCAGAGTGCAGTTGAGTGATTCATAATGCATTTGTTGCAGATGTGTGACGCTAAGCACATCCTAATAACTTCCTTCATTTTGTCACTTATGAATCATAGTCTGACATTTCCTTCATTTTGTGACTGCCTAATGTTTGTAGTGATTGCTTAATTTAAATGCATGAAACATTAATGCTTTTCATATATTAATTATTCAGTTCCTTTTAATAATATTCATTTAAAAAGACAAGTGAATTTTGAACTATAACAATATTTATTCTAAATATAAAATGTATAAACGGCAACATAGTATTCACAAATTTTTCAATTGTTTTCAATATTCTTTGAGAAGGTCTATATTATTGCCTGAATTTTATGGTTATTAATAGTATTTTAAAATAATATTGTATTGTATTTTTGCATCGGAATATGCAATATTGTAGAAGAAAATATACTTATTTATAATACTCTTCTCATTTAATACTTTATTTCAGTTGAAAGTTATTTCCAAGTTTTTAATGTTGTTGCTCAGAAGCAAATTCACTCCTGCTCATTGAGTGATGACATCATTTTCTGGTCCTGGATAAATGAAAATATTATCGGCATGGTAACTGACAGAGCTGTATATCACTGGGATGTTTCTGGCTCAGGTATTATCACCTTTGCTCTTTAAAACCCATTAAAAATGAAACCTCTGTTGTTTATTTGCTATGTACTGTACATGGGCAAAGGATTGCTAGTAGGGAGTATATTATTCAGGTGGAAAGTTTCATTATAAAATCTAGGAATTCAAGCTGTATTGGTCAAGAGAACAAATTCCTGTGTCTTGACAGGGTTTGAACCAAGAACCCTGGGGTTTGAAGGAAAGCACTCAAGCTACACCTCCATTCCATATTAAATGTTCAATTATTCCATTTTAATTTGTTCTAAAGCCTATGTTTTGCAATTGAATGTTAACATTTTTTAAAAACCTCTATTTTGCATATTTTGTGTGTATTTTCTGTTAATTTATTTGCAATTTCTCAAACCCCCATGTATTTTACAGGCTCTGTTCCACCAGCTCTGGTGTTTTTAAGGAACAAGAAGTTGAGTTTTTCTCAAGTTGTGAGTTACAAGACAGACAGAACAGCACAGTGGTTTATTTTAGTTGGACTGACAAGGGCAATAGAAGTAAGTACCAATCCTGCTCCTGAATTTAGGATTATAATATTTTGAAGAGTGTAAGCCCAGTTGATCTGGCTCCAAACTTCACTGAAAATTTGGGGTGGTCTTATACTCAATTCGTAAGGTCATTGCTAGCTTGTCATTTCAGGAGGACTTCTGAAGATTCCAGCTGCATTTAGTAATTAAAAATATACTCTAGGCTTATACTCTGAAAAGGCTAGCATCTGAAATCAAGCCTATACTTGAAGTGGGCTTATTATTTGTCATGGACTTATACTCTGTATTCATAATACTAAATTATATGTAATTAAAATACTGTCGTGCACTATTTACATGGACAAAAGAACTAAAGACAAAGTCGGTTAGCTTATTAATCAGTGGTAAAATTTGGGAGAATAAAGAGAATAAGAATATAAACCAATAAAATGACAGCATAATTAAACCAACATTAAGCTGAAGATAGGCTAAAGGCATCTGCTAAACAATGTCAATATTGGTTTGAGCACTAAACCTCATGCAGGCCTGCTTAAAGTAATACTGAGGATTCAAGAATTTTAGTATCAAATAAATTGATATAACATCAACATTTGCTTGCCCTTCTTTTAGTTGTAGATCTAGAATACTGTGTGACCAAGAGACATGTTTTGCATAATTGAATTACTTATAATTTCAGACTGGCGACAGCAATGCAATTCGAGGCTATGTTCAAGTATATTCAAATACTTACCGCTGCAGTCAGCTTATTGAAGCACAAGCAGCAAATTTTTCAAGTTATAAATTCTCTGGCAATGTGGTGCCTTCTACTGTCTTGTGCTTGGTGAATAGGCCCACAGGCTGCTGCTATGGAAAGGTATTGTTAACATACAGTCTTGAAATATTCAATTAATACAAATCAACAATGTAAATAAATTTGGGGTTATTTTTTTGTTACATATTATTATTTGCTTTCCTATATTGATTTTTGGAGGCCAAACACAGATGTCCATAAAATTGCTGCTTTGGTAATACAACAGTAATTTTTGTTTTCTTTTTTAACTTTTAATTTGCAGTATTTTATATAATTCTTTGCAGTGGGAGTTAGGGTTAGTGTTACAACATGTTACTAAACCAATGTGACAGGTGTTGTAATGTTTTTACAATATTTCCCTTAAGACTACTGAACCAATATTGCTAGCCATGGTATAATGTTAATGCAATACAAATTTAAACTCTAAATGAATGAACAAATGTAATATTAATCATCTGCTTAGCTCAGTCGGCTAATCTAGCCAATGTGTGTGCGCTGAATCGTGGCGATCTCTAGGTCTCTGGTTCAATCCACATCGCTGCCTCACCTTGTGTTTCAGCTGGAGGGCTGAAATACAAGAGCGCGCTGTCTTTCGGATGAGACGTTCAAGCCGTTGGTTCTGTGTGCATTATGGCCCATGTTAAAGAACGCAGTACACTCTTCAGAAACGAGTAGGGGATTGTCTCCCTGTGTACTGCCCAATCACCACCAGAAGGACCCCACTAGAAATAAGTCTTCTTCTAGACTTTCGTGGGCTATCCTTGGTGTTTACACCAAATAAATCGAATCCAATCCAATCTGCAATTATATTGCTGCCTACTACTCACTTTTCTCTTCTTTGCTTATCATAAATTTATTTCATATAAAAGAATTTCTCATACTGATAATCCATTAATGTATTATAATTTCATATATTTAGTATTATAATTTCATATATTAAGTATTTAGTTAATGTTATATTTGCCTAGTTATATAAGTGTTAATTACTTATTTTGATTTTATAAAATGTAACTACCTATTTACACATTTGCAGCATCATTGTCCAAAGAATGCTGGGACTTGTATATGTACTAATTGCCTTTGTAATCATTCCTTGTTTCATTTTACAGATTCACATAATGGAGCTAGGGCCACACCTTGCTGGGAATGCATCATTGCGGAACCTCACAGAACCTATCAACTTCAGTAAAGGTGGAAAGTATGATATCCCTATAGCTGTTGAGGTAATCAAATTAAATTATTTCTCCTAAAATGAACAGCCATCAAACACAGGCTGTGTGCAAACAGTGCATAGTCTACCATTTAAATATTATCAATCGTTTTACAAAATTAAATTCGAAAACTAATTTATTGTGAACATTCCTAGGTAATGAATTTCATTGTCTATGATGTTATCCTTTTCTAATTAATATTAATTTAATAATTTTTCTTTCATTTTTAAAATTTATTTCTCCTCTTCAGGTGTGCTGTTCCACTGGCTTGGTGTATGTGATGACAAAGGCAGGTTTTGTGAAGGTGTGTGATGTTGAGTCGGCAATGCACTTGTGTACAGCGAGAGCGTCAGAATCTACGGTATTCATCAGTGTCCCTCACTCGGATAAAGGTATTCTTGGTGTCAGTAGAAACAGCAAGGTAAATTATGCCATAAATTACACTGTGAATTTGGTTCCATTCTTCTCTTAGTTTTATCAAAGAATGAGTTCTTTCGCATTAAAAACTGATAAGAGCATCTGCCCTCCTACGAGTGGGGGACTATTTGATTGAGTGGAGAAACAAACAAACTTGATGGAACCAAAAATAATATGAAGGGCACCACCATAGGGTTGGGGGAAAGGGGAAACCTGATGTAGTTTCACGATTTTCCAGTTCAGCTCTGTCTTCTTCTATTATCTTTGGTATTATGATCATTTATGATTCATTAATAAAATGATTATTTTGGTTAATTTTTAGTTTTAGTTTAAAAAGAAGTCCATTGTTAATAGTCACAGGCTTGTTTTAATATTAACTTTAAGTTCAATATACAATCTAATATGAATCTATTTAATCTTGAATTGAATATAAACTGAAGAATGTAATATTATGTTTTTTAACAGTCATATAAATATTTGATCTCAGTACAACTCTACAACTTGTTAATGTGCTGAAGGATTGTGTTTTTCTTCTAGGTATTCCACATGACTGTGAAAGAAAAAGAACTTCTTCATCACATCCGCTCTACATTGAGAAGGCCAGCAATAGCAACTCGCTTAGAGAAGTCTTTCAGTGGACAATCATGACACGTCTCAGAGTGCAGTATTCTTAGCTTGACATTAGTCACGCCAACCGCTTTCCTTCTAACTGGGGAAGCATTTAGTATGAGTTTGGTCACAGTCCCTTCATGTATGGATTTAGCATTCATAGCCACTTTTGTTGAATTGATGTGCATTGTTAACCAAACCAAGTTCAAGAGATTAGAGAAGAAACATAAATATTGTTGGATTTGAATTTAATTACCTTGATATGGGTATTCAAATTGACTTTTCGTTTACAAGGGGTTTTTTTTAAATCTATTTTTTAGTAATCAAGTCTTCCTCATTGTGTAATAATCTATCGGTTGATTCATTAGAGGTTTCAACTTCTAAAAAAAAGATGAAAAATAATTAAAAAACAAATGTGCAATACACATCAACACAGTATATTAATGTATGTGCTAAAGGTGTTAATTCTTTTCTAAGAATATGTGAATTAACCTTTTTTAAATGCAAGTCTACTCATCCAATAATCGTACTAGCGGTTTCAACATCTTCCAAACAAACTATTGCCACCGAACAATATTCTTAAATTGTTTCTCTAACATCCCCAAGTTGTATCTTCCATTTACAAGTACAGAAGTGACCTTTCCAGATGTAATTTTTCATTAATAAGAGAGGAATAACTTTTCCAATTACTCAGTACTTTGTAAAAAATTGGTTTAGCTGCTATTCTATTCTATTGTATTTTCATGCAATAATTTGACTCGTGGGGAAGTATTATTTCCTTATGTGTGCTTAAATCATGTTTTCTAAATTTGTTGCATCAGCTTGTGCTGCAAACTTAAATCGAAGACTAAAAATATTGCCTGGTGCTACTGTTCTTAATTTTAATAAATCATTTGTAATCAGTATGAATATGCAAATAACAAAATCATTTTAAGGTGCTTGGCCCTCTTGTGACATATGTGCTCACACGTGTAAGGCAACTCTGTACTGTAATCATTTTTTTTTAGTCTTCCAAATATAAAGACGGACACATTATAGAAAGAAAAAGTGTTCTTTTACAAGAATAATAAACTGTAGACTGTGGTAATGATTTACAGTAGACTACTTGTGACTTTCTTGTGTTCCTTTATTGGTATTATGTCATCTGATTTATTATTAGGCTCATGTGGCTTCACTCTGTAAGTATTGACTATAGAGGGCTTGAATTTATAAAACAAGTAAGCAGTTTGGACAGTGGTTGTGATTCTTGGGTTCTGAATTGTAAGGTCAGGTATTAAACTCCATTCCACTTGTTTCACTTCCTTGGGCAAGACACACCTAATTCGTCTCTCTACACACAAGAGTATAAATTGAACCACGTAAGATAATTTGGGATTAGCTGCACAACTAGGAATTTTTTCAAGGGTTGGGGTGGTTTTGCATAGAATGTGATCTAGTGATAAAGGGGTAATAAAGTGTCATGGAAGATACCAGCACTACATTTAATATAACAGTAAACAATCATTAATGACCTACTATTACTATTACAAACTATTTATCGTTATGTTAACAGAAGTGTTTGGTGTTTATTATAAACATGTTAATTGCGAGGAAAAGTATATGGATTAATGCCAACATATGTATTGTACATAGATGTTGCCAATTGTTGCGAATAAAGTGTAAGCATATTAATGTTAAAAACAGTTAAAATTTGAAAGGTATCTTGTACATTGTTGTTTGCTAAATGTTAGGGACAGAGGTCATCTTTCAGTAGTAAAGGCATATTGATAATATGTAATAAATGCATTTAATTAATGCATGTAATTAAGGAATGTCATATACATATTGCCATCAGTCAGTTTTTCATAATTGTGTATGTAGCTAATATCCTATACATTAATGTGTTTAATGCATATAATTTACATAATTAATATTTGTTGTTATAATAAATGTAGGTGATCTGTGGCTTGTGCATCATGTTATCTCTGCCAGCTTTTAAGTAAAGTAATTATTAGTTTCTCCTCCCAGCCTACTTCAATCTTTTCTACCACCTCAATTTACCACCATTTTACGTAAACAAAGCAAATACAATAATTATAACTCCATAGTGCATAGAACCAGCATGAAGACTTGATTTGAAAAAACTGATGGTCATAAATATATAATTCTAGGAGTGCCTTTCTTTCAAAAGTTAGGATTTGGACGATGGAATTGTTGTCTTGGCAGTACAGTATTGTCTTTTAGGAGGCATTACTTTCATCATCTCTCAATCCACTTTTTGTAAAATTTTAATAACAATTTAGACTAAATTTTTATCTGAATTGTCTGAACATATCTTGCTAGTCTTTATTTATGTACAAATGTATAAATTAAATCTATAATAATGTTTAAAATATATTATGAATTTCATTTTCAATTTTTTAAATTCATATTTTTTTGAATTTCAACTTAAATACTGTACAATGCATTACCATACAAAGTCAGTACATAATATACAGAAGAGGTTACAGAATAATTATGCTGCTTGCTAATCAACATTTTAGCAATTTTTTTTCAGAAGTAGATTTTATATGACATTAATTTAAATCAGAACAGATAAAGAATCAGTTCATAGTCTAAATATTGTACTTTCTTTGTAAGCCTTGGGTATCAATGTTGCATTGGATTTTGATATTTACTTATATCACAGCCTCAATAATACAAAAAATAGCAATTTTACAATGTTACATAGTGAATTATAATTTGAGTCTTTCTAAGGTCAAGGTGCAAGAGCAATTGTTTTGCCAATGATTATGGAGTAAGTTGCAGATCAGAAATTTGAAATTGTTTGTGACAGAAGTTTAAAAATAAATATCTGATTGAAAACACAAACTGTATTTATTTATTTAATCTTTCTTTATACTGTAGGCACTTTCTTTACTATAGTACTGATTTTCAAAGTGGTACAGTGACAATAAACAGAAGAAATAAAACAAAGAATAAAATAAAATTTGAAAATATTTCAAATGATGTTGGAATGAAAAAGTCGACATCTCTTCAAAATTAATTTTTAATTTGTATGGTAGTTCATTTCAGCTTTTGGGTGATCGATATAAAAACGTTTTTTTCCCTTGTCCAATACATTGGACAAACCAGGTATTTATGGGTTTGGCTACGTGCCTTTAGAATGGGTAGTATTGTTAAAGGTCAATTTGAAGACAAATATTGAGGGGCATATCCTTTTAAGCGTTTGAAAGTCACAAGAAGTAATTTTTCATTCCAAATCACATTTAAAGTCTACTCCATCCAAGGGCACTAAAAATAATATAATCAACAGGTGTCAACAGAAAGTAAAATTCTACCTAATCTATTCATAAGAACTTGTAAACAGTTAGAATTTTTAACATTACAATTAGACCAGACACAACAACAATAATCGAAAAGAAGAAAAATTAAAGCATTTGCTAAAATTTTAAGCGTATAAGAAGGAAGAAAATATTTAGTACGTCGGATGACACCAATACGCTTTGAAATAATGAATGAAATATTGTTTATATGGTCGTTCCAAGTTAACTGTGGATCAAAGGTGACGCCAAGGTATTTAAAAGAATTAACTCTTTCAATTGTGTATCACCATAGTAGGAAATAAAAATGTTTTTAAATATAGAAAGAATCTGGCTAGTCCCAAACACAAAATTTTATCAAGAATATGAAAAATTTTTGTTTGTGACAAAAATTAAATCTATAATTGTTTTAGAATTTTCAGTTACTCTAGTAAAATCATTTATGATTTTGTGTAGGTTACTATGTTTTGCTAGATTATTAATTTTTCTTACATTAGTTTGTTTATAAATATCAATATTGAAATCGCCTAAAATTACGTCCTCATATAAGGTTGTGCATTGTTGAAAAATAGAATCAAGTGTAGATACATATTTAACATTTGCACTGGGTGGCCTATAGACAGTGCCTAAAAGTAAAGGTTTAGTACATGGTAAATTAACCTCTATCCAAAGTGCCTCAATATCATTATGTTTAAAAGTGTGTATCTCTTTAAAAACAATGGCGGACTTGACATAACATAAAACCCCACCACCAGCTTTCCCATTATTTCTATCAAATCTACATATTTCATAATCATTTCAGAATTATCTATATTATTATTAAGCCATGATTCAGAAATACATAGGATGTCAAATTTGTATGTAAAAAAGCTCTAAGATAGTCAATTTTGTTACGTAAACATTGAATGTTAATATGTCCAATTTTAAAACCTTTATCAGGAAGGCATCTAAGATCAATGAAACCCGTCATTAAAAGATAGTTCATTAAGTATAATTTTAAAGAAGCAATAATTGCAACACCAACTACTTCACAGATATTGATTATGACTTCCACAATTTACATGGAAATCTAAGGAACAGTTAGAACAAGAACATTGAAAATTTGAAGATGTAATGTTTTTTAGGCATTCACATTTACTAGTAATCTTTTTAGACACTTTGTTTTTATTTGTACTATTCTTTACATTAGTCTTGAAATACTTAGGTTCCAGTACTTTCCTGGCTTATTGTTCTTTGCCAAATTCTCAGTCTTTATTTATGTGGTAATTTCATTACTACTTTTGGAAAAAAACTAGAATAACCCATATCTCGCAGCGTCATTGTGCTGAATTACGTATGGGTGTGGTATGCGACTACATCAGGATACTATTTGATAAGTGATGTCTCGCAAATTAAATAATGCAAGCTTTGCAGCAAGTCAGATCTATACATAGTACGTTTTAGCACTTTTAGGATTGCTGCTTTCGAACAAGCACCACACAAAAGCCTCCAACAATTTTAAAAGGAAAAATATCAGCATCTCGTTAAACAAATAACTGTAACAGGCTGTCTAACATACTGATATTGCTATGAAGATAGTTACCAATAAAACTCTCTTACAACAATGGATATTAAATTTATAGTTTTATTTCATTCTCATCTAAGAGTGAATCACTCCATTTCATATTATGAAATTAAGGTGTAGACTTATTTTTATTCTGTTTCACCATGGTAATACACTAATAGCCAAGATATGATGGAGCTATTTACAAATACTGGTCTCCCTATAATTAAAGACCCCTCCTATTAAAGACAACTTTTCTGTGGTACCAAATTAAACGAATGTCTACTAAAAACCATGAAACCTCAATCCCAAAGTGGTCTTTAATTAGAGGGAGGGAGGCCTGTATTAATGTACCACATTCCTTTCCTCATACCATGCCCAGGGCTGCTAGTAATAATCCTGAGTGATATTACTATACCCAACTGTTAAAAAACAGTCCCATCCTTTACCTCATCAAATCAAGGACTTTTAACTGTTACCACAATAGGAAGCTGGCTGGTTTAAGCTGTTCTATTTTCTCTATGGTTTAAGCCGTTTAACTTGAATTGGCCTTATGTGTGGTATTGTTATGCTAATGAGCTAGATAAGCACAATCTGCACATGCTCAGAAAAACAAAACTTTCCTTAGCCACACTGCGTATCGGCTATTCGTACAGCTAGGCCTAGACGAGAATTACAGTACGGTAAATCAAAGCAAAATAAGGGTACTAATTTCACTTGGCATGCAAATCAATCATACTTACACACTTAAAAACAAACTAATCTACCAATAAAATCACCTGCTAGTTAAGATATAAGGCAAGTATGTTTACAAATATGATTTTAAATTATGTGATTTTGTTTTGTAGTATTACAATGAACATCACATAGGCCAGCCTGGGCATGTCTAACTGCTTATAAAAATGCAGAAAAAAGACACAAAACAAATTAGAATGAAGTTATCAACTAACTAGTGCATTAAAATTATTCATATACTTACTACTGTTCTTACCTATATAAAGTTAATGTATTGCTGACAAATGTCAATATTTTTTATTTTAATACGCCTTTTCCACGAATCGGTAGACATCTTGAAGTGATGACAGACAACCTAAGTCAGTGGTGCATAATAAACAAAAATAAGATAGCTAGGCCTAGCTGCTGAACGCCTAGCTGATACGCAGTGTGACTAAGGAAAATTTTCGTTTTTCTGAGCATGTGCAGACTGTGCTTATCTGCCTCATTAGCATAACAATACCACACATAAGGCTAATTAAAGTTATACGGCTTAAACCAGCCAGCTTCCTATCCTGGTATCAAATGACATGACCACTTAACAATTCTGAGTTATATAACGATAATAAAGTACCATAGAAAAGGTAGCCGTTCAATCTACTGTATATACTGGCGTATAAGGCAATCTGCATATAAGACGACCCCCAAGTTTGAGAAGATTTTTGGGCAATTTTTTTATGTCAGGCATATAATATGACACCACTACTTCACCATCGGAATTCCTAATTTTTGCTGAGCTGTTTATGGTCTTGAGACTGCATCTTACTTGCAAAAAACACAGCCAATTGTAGGGCTAATCTTCCAAATAATACCATTTTATTGGCATTTAAATGTTCATCAAAATCTTATTTCCCTGCATTTAAAATTGCAATTATTCATACTAACAGTTAGTAACTTCATTGCAATAGTAAATTTGCATGTTATGGGTGATCCACAGATAAGATGAACATGATTTAAAAAATCTAAAATTTGCATGTCGCACGTATAAGACGACCCCCTGATTTTTTATCGTAATTTGCTATTTTAAGCCTTGTCTTATATGCAAGTATATACGGTGCATGATAAACTGTAAACTAAAGACAAACAGCACTCACATTTTTAAAAGCTGTTGGTTGTCTTCAATCCACTGTTTATAACGATAATAGTATTGTTAATAATACTACAATTTGATAACGTCTTGTTGAAACAACCCTGTCTTATCTCATAATAATGATATTTATATAGTGTATTTTGCTAAAGGATATAAGGCGCTCCGTTTATGAATGACAAACAAATTATTTATATTATAATTCATACTGCTAACAACAATCCCAAGACATATTACTATGTTTATACTGTAAAAACAATCATATTTATATCTCATTGTATGACTAATGAACATATGGCTAATAAGAGTCTTAAATGATATAACCATGGCTGTACAATCCCATCCCCTTACCATTACCACGTTAATAACTGTCAAAAGTGACATTAACAACAGCAACTATCAACACTGTATGGTATTGCACACCATAATATTAAGGAAGATCTTGATTGTAAGTATAAATTATCCAAAGAATCCATGAGGGTTGCTGGCATCACTTTGCTTACTCTCAAGAGTGAATGGTGGAATACGGCAATCGAATGTGTATCCATCGTTCCTCTCCATCCGAAATGTACCCCTGTGAAAAGAGAGACAGTCAAATAGTAACTAATAATAAATCGTAATAATTTGTACAGTACCTGTTAAGACAAATACAGTAAAGCAAACTGATTGTTTTATATAACACACTATTGTTAACCGTTGTTTTGTGTTGTCCACCATAAAACTATTGAATTTGTTAATTTGTGTTCACATTCCAGAAGCCATTTGTATAGTAATGAATAGTAAATCTGTATGGGGGCTATGGCTTAAAGCTGATCAGACGAGTCTAATTAGCTTATATAGCCTCCTCCACAAATCAAATCCAATTGTTTGACGATTTATTACATCTTTGTATGATGTTATTGAATTGTGGAAATAAACATTGAACAGAAGGGACTTCCCTATGACAGCCCTGAAATTTGAAGCAACAACTCCCCTATTATGGCACTCTGATTGGGTGACAAGAACATACATTAAGAAAATGAAATTCAAATGGGAAACAAGAACTTGTTAAAATATGGGCAAGTTCTCCCCTTCAGGTTCTTGAGATTTGGAGGCAACTACCCCTCTAATAAGGGCCATGAGCTTGGAAGTGCTGCCTCTATCACTGACATAAGGAAATAGCATTTCTCCCATCTGGACCCTAATATTAGAATGTAGCACATCCCCTATCAGGGCCATGAAACAATTCCCTATCAGCACACTGTGATTAAAACAGCACCCCTCCTATCAATACCTTGGGATTAGAAGGCATTACCTCCCCAACCTGACATGGGGATTATAAGGCAACACATCCCATTTTAGGTCAATGAGATTTGAAGGCAGCACCTCCAGTACAATGGGATTAAAAGACAAGCACCCTCCCATTTTATCAGGACCCTGGGATTAGAAGGCAGCACCTCCATACAGGACCATGAAATTAAAAGACAAGCAC